CTGCAGATGCAACACGCGCTGTGCAGCATGTCGTACTTAAAGAAGACCTAGATCTCTGATGCCAAGGCGGCGATGCAAATAATAACAGTTAAGCAATAAGTGTATGATTATTTTAATAACTATTTTTCGAATGATTTTCTTATCATCTGACTGCATTGCTTCAACTTTAGATCTGTGGGTATATTTAAAATAGGGAAAATTGTTATGATCTTCTTCAGCAAAATTCATTGCAGTTCACCTATATCATTGCTTCATTTTAATTCTGCAATGTTCAGTGACTGAAGCCGCTTTTGTGGTCACAAGGCTAAAACATCGGTGGGCAACATATATGGGATGAAATAGTGCCACCGTGTTTATTCCCCTGAATAATAAGGATATGTTATTGGCCAACCTGTGGCGATTCAAGTCACAACAAACGGAAGATTAAGGGGTGTTTAAAGTATGAGCTTCTGAAATGGAAGGGCAACAACGGCATTCCCACTTAGAAAGGTGGGTCAAGCCCGGGGAAATGAAGTTTGAAGATTTCTTTTGAATTTTCTATATGCTCCATGTCCATCTGAATAAAGAATATTATATTTCATGTTTCTAAGTATGAAGGATGTCTTATGTATCTTTCCATCTAAGTTGCTAGTCAAGATGTTCCGGCATCCTCCTAAACACAATTGATTTATACACTGTAGGAATTTTTATTCAAACGATTTCCTTGACTTCGTTCAAGGTTCATAATAAGTTTTCGCCACAGCACAGCCGCTGTCTTGTATCCGTTTCGTCATATTCACGTAATTATTCCATCTCTTGATTTCTCATGTCTCTTTTCCGTCATATGAATATCGAGGTTGAAAGCTAACTCCCTGTTTGATCCTAAAAGGATATGTTGCCATTCGATGACGTAGATTTGCCATTAGTTTTTGGAACATTTAAAGACGCTGATTTATGAATCGCACGTTTCATTTATAAATTGAAGTTAATATCTTTTCTAAATAATTGTAGATTTTCGACTCATTGATTTTAAGCGAGGACTTCAACCCGTTTGAAAAATGCGAACTCTATCCGCAGTCCGCTGATCAGAAAACCGTAGAATGGTAAGAAAATAGTTTTTTCTTTAAAGCTACTTTATATCTACATTTAATTTCTGTGTACAAGTTTGATTAAAAATGTAAAAATTTTCTTAACGTACGGGTCATACTTCATCTGTAAAGACCTAGATTGCGTCTATGTTAAAGTAGGTTGATGTTTTCTCTCAAACATAAAAGATTTCTGCCGTTTTGAATTATTTCCGGCATAAAATGTACTCAATTTTTGTTTGTACGTATACCTGTTCTGTGTTAACTTTAATCTAAATGCATTGCAAACTTGCTTTAAGGTGTTTTTTCATATCCACCATTAATTTCTCGTTTTGGACTTCGTCGGAGCACAAGTTTGAAGTACTATACGATGGCAAGAAATACACTGGCTTCCTCTCATGCTGTGCCTTGGTGAAAAAGTCGCTTGATGTAAGACCTTTCGTTCTTCCCAGTCACTGTAGTTCGTTGTTGTTCGGTATTGCGAATTTTCGCTTCGGATCCTATCGTTCTATGAAGCTGAGTGAAATATGTTAGTGACACCCTGCTGAGTAGAAAAATCTGTCATCGACTGTTGTACCGAGAGCTCCGGTGGGGCTTAATATGGGTATATAACCTGCAAAAATTGATCTCCATTTAATTTCAGGAAATTCGGTCTGGGTTCTGAATCCATGCTGTTGAATCAGATATGGTCAGATGAATGGATTAACTTTTTCCCTCTTCTTTGCTTCTCTAAGTGTTATGTGAAATGTGAGTTACTGAAAGGTCATAGGTAAGCCCTCATTTTCAGTTAATTGCACTGTGCTGAACTGATGCGTTGAACGACTCTGTTTGAGATCCTTTAAAAATGTCAAAACAGCAACTCACCAAATATGATATTGCATTATTTCTCTGTTCGTGCGAGAGGTTTCGTGCGAGGGGTTTTTCCTGAGTCATTATTCTTTCTATTCCTGAGCTTTCCAGCTGCAAACTTTCGTCCCGACAGTGTTTGAATTCAGTCACTGAACTTCCTCCATCTTATTTTGTCATTTTATTTTGTTTAAGTACGATTTCTAGCTTGCCTCTCTAGCCCAAGTGTAAGATCCTTGATTCCTCTTTCTTCAGTTACTCATGTCATGGTGCTCATATTAATTCGTTATTTTTCCATTGTGGAAGCTCATGGATTTTCGTTTTCTTGTGTATGGCTTATCGTTTTGCTACACATTGAGCAAAGACTTCTTAGATTCTGTGCGAAATGGGTGTAATTTTCACTGTTTTTGAAGATTAAGCGTGAAACTACTACACTGTTTAAGTTTAAAATTCTTTTCTTTACCTGTACATGTTTTTGCATGCCGTCACATTGCAAATGCATGAACACCTTCATTTATTAGTTCTTTGTATTTGTGTGAATTTGCCAAGGTGTTGTTCTTATGGTTCATATCTCTCTTATGAATCTATATTAATGAGCCGCTGACTTTTCCACACATTAGATGGGCATTCCACTGACCGATCCTCGCTACATTTTGGACATTGACTTCGATCGTTTTCGTGCCTGCTTCACTAATGACGAGGGCGACGTCATCCCAATGGTCGACGAGCGCTGGCAGAATTTGAGACAAGTATCGTCCATTCTTTGTGAGGTAACGGCACCTTCATTTCGCTGTTGATCGTTTCGGTAATTTGGATTCAGTAGAAATTCAATGGCACGTTTTATGAGTGTTTGCAACAAAGCGACAACAGCGCCCAGAATCTGCTAAAACTTGTTGTCGAGAATTTTCCTTGCTACCGCGACTGGGCCACCTACGAAGATACTGCTGGTACGAGATATCCAGCTGTTGTGTGATTACAAGTTACCAAGGAGCAATGTTAATCGTTTAAATCAAATATAATATAAAATTGGAGAGATAGTGAAGCTACTGGTCTTTCTTCATTCTAAGTTGAATGAAGAATGCTGGAATCATATGCCGCAGTGCCCACTTAATTATAAATATTTTCGTCTGTTGGCTTGTTCTTATTACAACTGTCCATCTAATGTCAGTATCACAGCATGATTAACTTCATGAAAGAGATTGCCGACAAGCTGCGCCCATCCAATGGAAGCAAAAGCGATCAACGTCCAAATAGTTACAAACTTTGATAAAGTTATTTTTTAGCGTTCGTCACATTTTTCAAAGTGATATGTGTTCTTCCAAAGAAGCTTTCAAAAGTAACTTATGTGAACAAGTTGGAAAACCTTTGCATGCATGAACTATATCAAGAAACCGACGTACAATGTAAATGAATAAGTAACAGTATTCTCCTTTCTGCTCTTCACCGGAATTGCATATTCCGGTGCTCCAATTATTTTTTAAACAGTCGTATGTTTGGGTCTGAAATTTTCGTTACATCACCCAGTCTTTCTGAACTTTATACTAGGAAGGGTTAGGGAAGGACATGATTCTTATCTGACTGGCTTTTAGCTAAATCCCTAAAACGGATCGTTACTAATCTCACTTATTCCCTGTACTGTGCTAATTCAGATACGCGCATCTTAGGAAGTATGATTATGTTCGGAGGACCTTTTTCAACGATGACTTCAATATCCTTGAATTATTAAATTTTTGCTGTTGAACCCTGGTCGGTCTTTCGTAACAAACTTGTCTCTATACTCTTGCAGAATTATCCTCATACCAAACAGCTTTAAAATGCGCCAAGAATTATCACCACCCCGATACCAGAACAGCTGGTCAGCCAGAAAATTGGAGGATACCACACATTCAATAAGTCTGAACCTTTCCACATCTTAAGATCTAAGATCGTTATGCACTTTTCTTCGGATTCAACAGTGGTTGTACATTTCCTGATTCTCAAATAAACTATTTTAACGATTGATATAAAAAATAAATGAATGTTTTAGTCAGCTGATATTTATAAACTTTAATTTAATGCCAGTATCTATATCCGTTTTAGTACTTCTTTGGAAGAACATCTACTAAGTTTGATTACTGACTTATTTACCTTATCCTTGCAAAGTTAATATAATCGTTTTATGCTCCCTCCCTCTGTGACGATTTCATCAGCAACATATGTTTAACGTTATCGTGGTTAAACCTAATCATTTTTTTCTCAAAACCATGTTTCGATGTTCTGCCTTGTCCGTTGTTTGCTTAAATCCAGTTATTAGAATCCCCTTTGCCTAATTCCTGTCAACTTTCGACCTGTAACCACTCCGTTCTTTATTTTTAATCTCTTACTTTGAATACATATGCTTATAAGTATCTAAGATATTTATTGAATACCCAGGTTCGTATGCTAGCGATTACGTGAGTCAGTAACTGGTAAAGTAACCATGGTAGTGTCTCTCTAGTACAGGCTCTACAGACGATATAGGTTATTTCAGGCACCTTCAGTGTAAAATGATTGATAGATTGTTGGAGCGAAGAGGTGGCGAAGATGTGAATGCCTTGTATATTTTGTTACACAGCTTATATTTATATGTAGGTATAAATATATATCGCTTTTAGTCGCGTTTCTGAAGCGCGCTCAGATACTGATCGGCGATATCTACAACCTTCTAAAGGGTGAACCGCCAGCGGCATTCGGCGATATCGATACGCTGACAACTTTCGCTGACTACCGTGTGCCGCAGGTGCTTGTCTACTTCGGGGCACTGCAGTACTCTGATGAACTACAGCGACTTTTAAACGAAGGTACGAAGTGGGTTCTTCAGCTTCCTTGCAGTCCTTTGCTAATTTTTGTTATCTTTAATCTTGTGTATCTTGACATTAAGCAAGGACTATGTTCTTTAGGTAGTTGCTTAATTGAGTGGCGAGTAGAAGGCAATAACAAAGATAGTGTAAATTGAATTGTTTGTTCAGTCAGTTTGAATGACCGCCTATCCTTTCAAGTCGCGAAAACAGACGCTTCAGACAGTGTCTCCAGCCTTCCCCATCCTCTGTCAGCTTTTGAGTTTAGGCAGAAGATGACAGGGTCTTGAGCAGACTCGTTCGATATACTTGCCCCAGGTTATTCTTGGCCGTCACGGTCTTCTTCTAGTCGTTTGGGCAAGTAGTAGCACTTTCACCTTCCTTTCTGAAATCATTCGCAATACGTGCCAAAACCATCACAGCTGTGACTTCTCAATTTGGAGAGATGACGTCCATGCACCAAGGCTCTCATGAATCTGTCTAATCCAGACTAAGTCGAAACGCTTGGGCCAAGTCGAAGTTTTTCAGTCATGTCCCGTGACTCATGACTATGGGTGAGCATCAGGATAGAGGTCATCTTGAACTCAAAAAGCTTAATCTTATGACTCGGCTCATCCTTAGTCACAGTGGTACTGTCTAGTTCACGCTGAACGCCAATGGCTATTCCAGTCCACCGGTGGATCGTTTCCTCAGATTTTTCATCACAACTTTACCCGACCCTGAGGTACTTGAAATTCTCTACCTGCTCCACTGCCTCTCTATTAATTTAAAAGAGAGCATCGGACAGGAGAACGAGAAAGCATTCGGCTTTTTATTTTTGACACGCATGCCTACCGCGTCGCACTCCGCTACGAGCGCTTTTGCACAGAGGTGTGCAGGTCATTCTCAGATCATGCCAACAAAGGTACGTCTGTCTATAAAAGGGGAACCTACATTTCCTTTCTGCATCTTCTGCGCTGAAACGCTCATCTTTCTAGATTCGCCTGATTGTTCTGTCCGTGTACAACAGAAATGAGAAGCGGGGTAAAATGCAGCGTTATTACTCATCAGTGCCAAAATCTGAGGCCTCGATTTAACACCATTGGCTCTGACATTGCAGCTACTCAGCATTTATACATTCTTACAGACATAGATACGTATGTATGTACATGGGTATACACAGACGTACATACATAGACGCGTACATGTGTAAATGGGCATATACATACGTACAGACATAGATACGTACATGAGTACTGGGGTATGTGCATATGTACATGTGTACGTGGGCATATATGAACGTACGTATCTATGTATATGATTGGATGTCCCATAGCTTTGGTCACATGTTCGTAGGCGTGTCCACAGACTGTTACGCGTGATCCGTCATGTCTTTTCTCTAGGTCAACAGAGCACATATACACCTGATGGGCGAACTCCCACGATTTCTCAACAATCTGGTTGCGTAGGGTACATATGTCGTTAGAGGTGCTTCGACCGGGACGGAAGGCATATTGCCCTTCCTGTGTCTTAGAGTCGGTTATTCCGCGGCACCTCCTTTCTGGCACCTTTGCGTAGCATTTACGTGAGAGGCTCAATAAGGTAATGTCCCGATAATTGGAGCAGCGCACACCATGTTGTCTCCCTTCTTGAGTAGGGGTACAACAACTCCCGTTCTCCAGTCTGTTGCTGTCTTCCGCGTAGTCATGGCAGTTTTTCAAACACGTTTTAGCCGCGAGATTACTTTTTCGCTTTAAACTTTGAGCATTTATGGGCAAATATCATTGATTCCTGCAGTATTGTCACGATTAAAACTTTTACAGTATTTGTTACTTCATCTGCTGAAATACTAATATCTGTTGCCCGTTGCTCTTCAGGCGAGTCTTTTCTTGCGGTTGCTTCGAAGTTTTTTCCTCGAAGTACTCTTTTAATGGGAACATCCATTACAGAGCCTCTTAAATCAGACGATACGATTATCAAGTCAGTCATCGACTTCTGTGCACAAGCTTCCTGGTACCAGGTGTACTGATGCACTTTTCGATGCTCAAAGAAGGTGTTCATAATGAACAAACCGTTGTTTGCACAAAACCGCAACAACTTAATGTCAATTGTTGAGGTCGCTAGGGCCGTTATTTTCAATCACACTTTTCTGCATGTCAGGGCAGACATACGCATTAAAATTAAAATCGCCCATTAATTTTGGAATGTATTAGTTTCTACCATGTCGTCGTGGTGTGCATAAAACCATTAGGCATATTTTGTTAAAGATGAGTGAAGGTATCTATACCTCTTCTCTCGTCGGTACTGAGTTCTGATGAAAATATTTAGAAAATTTTCTCAGCTGTCTTAACGCAGAATGACGTGTCGTCGACGAGAAGTTCGGAAAAATCGATTATTGTATCGTAGATAATATAACGCTTTTTAAAAGAAATGAAATTCTGCGAAGCTTCAGTCGTCCATACCACCTTTGCCTGAACTTTTCTCGTCATATCTTTTATCGAAATGATGAAGATCAGATTCACATAATCACCTGTAGTAGAGAGTCAAGTGTATAAGCAATAGTTTAGCGAATTAAGAAACTCATTCTTGCCCTGAGGATGGCAAAAGTTGTTTTGAGAAACATCATCTATAAAGTGAAATTGAAGATCTTAACATCGGTCGCCTAATTGCATATGTAATCATTGAATGTTTATCACGTGGCGTAAGAGGTATGCCCCTTCCGTCCCGTCCTAGGTTTAGCGATTTTGATACGGCGAAATCAATAAGTACTTGTGCTCTTATCCGCAAGCAGCATCGGAATTGCCGTAATTGCTTCGAATTCTGGGAAGACGAACCAAATATGCGGAAGTAACCGTTTCTCTGAATCACCAAGAATATATCAACACTAATCCATGAAGTTTAAGAAATATTGTTACTTTTGATGTATGCGTTTGTTATAACATATTTTTAAATTAATATTTCATTCTTCTACACTTGGCATGCTACCAACTACATATAACCATTAATTTTCATGCTTCTTTGAAAGATTCAGTGATGTGTGTTCTCATTCGTCGTGATTTTATTGCTATTAAGTAAATTACAGCAGTGGAAGCATCAGAAACATTGTGTATGCGCGGCGCAAACAACCTTATGAAGCAGGCGAGTAAATGTCAGAAATATTTTTTATCACTTGCAGCAATTCCTGCGTTTAGAGCTGCTGCAAACGGCACAAAGTCATTCATATGCTCACGCTCCTCTCTACCTTGAAGAAGGTCTGTGGTCACGAGTCGAAACGTCTGTACTAGTCAATCATCCTTCGACAGAATCATTTATATCATGTACTAATATAAAGTGTTTTGTGCTTTTTTATTTATGACCTCAAATGCATGAACGAAATGTTCTCTCTTCAGGTTAATTACGACAGTTTACATTAGCTGCACGTTTAAGTCATAATGTGTGAAGTTGCTTGGCAACTTTTGCGTATTTTCAGTACCTATTGTTTGTTCAAGTCACGCATTTTCGTAGGTCACGTTTTTTCAAGCGGCGACGTAGAAGAAGTAGAAATTCGTGGATGTACCGTATTCGCGGTTGACGTACGTTATATATTTTTTCATTCTGTTTCTTTATTGTTTTCTGTTATTTTTTTAGTTAGTGGTCGATGAAGTGAAAAGAATGCTAGCCGAGGTGAACTGTAAAGTGGTCGTCAGTGCAATCGCCATCGACTACCTGTTGTGGAACTTTAGGAGAAGAAACGCTGACATTCTGTACAACATTCCGTACCACAAGACGCGATCAATCTTCTACTAATTTTCTTCCTTGTATTTATTTGTGAAATAAATTTTTCAATCGCATTTTTTCCATAACATTTTCATCAAAGTATCATGAAAAGAAAATATCGTCTTTCTCGATGTGCTTATTGCATTTATGGTTATCGCTGGAAATCGCAGTTTAAAACTATTTTTCAAGTACAGTATTTTATGGTTTAGTTTTAAACGTCTATTTACAGTTATCAGTTAAAAAATCACTATATATTTGACTACTAAACATTTCATGTT